TAGACTCAGGCCCAGCAGGGGAATGACTTACAGGACTGTAGGTACCCAGGCCGGTTTTGCAGAGACTGGTGAGCGTTGTAGATTCCCAATTGCAGTGTAGCTGGAAAAAGGGTGTCCCAAAAAGAGGGAGCTACCATGGAGGTCCCATATAAGCCCATATAAGAACAGGGCTTGTATCCCACTCTAATTCTCTCTTCTCAATACAAGAAATACTTGTACTAAGAAATACTTTATACAAGAAACACAAATAGTTAATCATTGCCTAGGTAAGACATTTTAAACAATAAACCTTTTGACACCACATACCTCAAACCCACCTCGCAGTGCTGCATAAGGAAAGCCTGCTTATCGGCTTTTGTAAAAATGACAGTTAGGAAAGCCCTGTGGTGCAGCTCTGCTCTGTCCTGTGGGGTTGTCAGGAGTGAGCAGACTTGGAGGCAGGAGGGAGCAGGGCTGTGGGGACTCACCTTCAAGGATGGAAGGTTTGAAGCATGAGAGAGGAGGGTTTTGACCACAGATGGATGTTACATCATCCCTGGTCCAGGAACTGGGATGCTTTTCCTGACTCTGACTTAATTGGGCTTCTCTGGGCCTGTCTGTTTCCTGTCTGGGCATGGGGAAGGTCGCCCCAGGGCAGCGTATAAGAACTGGCCTTGAGGTGTGTTACACACATACCCGGTTTGATTCTCAGCTCAGCGCCTGGAAGGTAAAGAAGTTGTGTTGTTTTTCACAGCAGTGGGAGCATTATGCCACTCGTGGGGACCAGGAGACACTTTTTTCATTAGCTTAATTAACATTTGTCCAGCCTTTTGTCACTTGGATCATAGTTCTTCACAGCTGCTCACTGAGGTTGGTGGTTTAAAGCCAACTTCATAGATGAGGAAACAGGAACTCAAATCAATTAGCTGACTTAATGAAGTCATACAGCCAGGGAGTGACCTTGACCTCAGCTCTGACCCAAACACACGTGTCCTGCTTGACTAAGGAAGTTGTGGAGCCTAGCGATATTGTGACATGGCAGTCTGCTTGAGCTCCAGGTTACTCATCTGTAGAGTGGGAATCAGCTCCGACTGTTGTGAGGGAGCTTTGAGACCACACATCTGAAACACTCGATGCAGAGCCTGGCCCACAGCAGGCTCGGTAAACATCAGGGATTGAACTGCTGGCAGTTGCTGTTAGGTGCCGACAACTCCCCTGTGAGACGGAGCTGGACCTTCTCTATCCTGCGCCGCCGTCCTCACAATCGTGCCGGAGCCCATTGTTAACAGCTCATCTTGGTGAGAGTTGTCCTCTCTCTTGCTGACCCGCTACCCTTCCCATCATGACGTCTTCTCCGCAGGACTGGCCCCTCCTAATGACATGGCCAAAGCACGTGAGATGAAGTCAGTAGTTTGCATCCAGGTTTTGCACAGGAAATAAGAAACCCAGATCATTCATGGCTCTTTTGAAATACCCTTCTTTGGAGCTGTCCTGGACATACTGAATCAGCTTTATTGTCCTGATGAAGAAAGTAGGAGACCAGATGTGTGTGCTTTTATACAAGAAAAACCCTCTAATACATCCTGATACCCTCTTCTGCTGGAAAGCCTTGGCTCAGGACTTCGTTGCTCAAAACTCACGAGTCTGCTACTCGAAGCATCATCTTTGGCCTGTCCCCATTTCTACCTCAAGCCTGTATTTTCTAAAGCTCCCCAGGGCTTTGGAATGCATGTGAAGGGTTGCTTAGTGGTAAGGAGGTGCACTGTCAGTCCTAAAGTACGCCAGCTGTTCAGCACGAGAAAGATGGGCGGTCTCCTCCCATGTGATTAACTGTTTCTGAAAACCCACTAGAAGGTCAGCTGTGAATCCATTCCACATCCATGGTACATGGTACAACAACCACGATAAAAAGTATGGTAATTAAAAAAAAATTAAGTCTCCACATTACCCACACAAGCTCGGGAAAGAGCTGTTTTCTTCTAGTTAGTTAGCAACTATATAGTAAACAACTGTGTGGCAATGCCTGGCTCTCTTGTTTGTATTGGGGAATGTAAGTGGGAGATCAGGGAGGTGAACACGGAACAGGCTGAGCTGGGAAGACTGAAACAGAATTCAGGGTCAGAACTGGATCTGGTTGAGGCCCTGAGTCACTTCAGGCTGGGCGGCCATCCATCATGCAGAGCTGCAGTCTTCTGGGGTGGAATAGGGTGCTGGCCTCCGGAGCTCTCCCACTTGCCTGCCCAGGGCTCTGAGCTTCCTGCGCTCCTCGTACAGGCCTGGTCTAGGGCCCTGGCTGGCAGAATTGCTCAGGCGCCAGCCAGCTGGCGGCTCCTCCTTCACCAGGCTGTTCTCTCGGCTTCAGGTTTCTGCCTCTCCCGCACTGACCTTGCAGCTTTCCCTTCCCTCTAGACAGGGGTGAGTGCAGAAGAAGAAGTGAAGAAGAAACGCTGGCAGGGCCAAGGGCGGGGAGTGAGGAGTGAGGAGTGGTCTTGTAGCCTGGCTATGGATTTGGGGGTGAATGCAGATGGAGGGATCATGAGGTTGAAGATTAGCAGGATCATGTAGAGTGTGGTCCCTTGAGCCAATTGATGGGAAGAGTGTGTGACAGCCCCGGGCACCAGCACTGGTGCTGCGTTCTCATCGGAGTTTGGCCACTAATGGGGGCCGTCTTGGGGTCTCTTATCTCAAAGAGCTAAGAAGTGAAGGGGAGAGGTGCAGGAGTCTAACATTAGAATTAAGGGGTAGACTTGGCTCCCTCTAGAGGAGAAGGGGGGAATGGGAGGGGAAGCTGGCAGTTCATGCAGGACTCTTTGAGAATCACTTTCTCTCTTTAAAACTCAATTTTTCTAACTCTCTAACCCTGGATGGTACAAAAGGTAAGTGCTGAATCCATCATCATCTCAGTTCCTTGCTCCGACTCCAGCCCCCAGCAGGCGTCCATTTCCCATCTGTCTCCGATGGTCGGTGCTGCTGACCTGGGATACTTTACTTCTACCTTTCTCTCAGTGTACCAGCCATGGTGGGAAATTGGAGAACTGGCTGGAAGACGTGACGTAAGAGTTGAGTCCATTAAGCGACACAACCTCAGCCAGAGAGTGAAGCCAGAAAAAACACCCTCGGGTGCGTTTGTGATGAGCCCTAAGACTCTCGCCTCTCACACCTGTCAGCTGCTTCAGGCTTGGAAGAACCACCACAGGGTGCCAGCCTTGCCCTGAAGAGGCCAGGGCACCAACTTCCGCCCACTTGGCTGTGCAGCCAGGGAGCCTAGTGTCAGGCCTTGCTCTCTTACCTGAACCTCTGTCTGCAAAAAGGGGCATGATAGAACCCCCTATGGGTCATTAAGATTGAATGCACATGTGTTCTTAGTTCACTGTTGGACACACACCACCCTGCATTATATGGCACGGTGTTTGCCGCTCCTGTTGATTCTGTAAGAATAACTACCACTATACAATGTTTTCTGGTGGTCTAGTGCCAAGAAGCTGTGCTGTAGTCCCAAAGGCATGCGGTTCAAGGCCACCAACTGCTCTGTTGGAGAAGGATGGGCAATCTTCTCCTGTGTGATTTGCCTCTGAAAACCTAGCGGAGGGTCAGCTATGGGTCAATTCCGACTTGATGGTGCACAACAACAACAACAGCAGCAACAACAAATGTTTAGGTAGCTCTGATGTCCTAGAGGTAAGGAGTTGCACTACCAACATAAAGGCATGTGGTTTGAATCCACCAGCTGCTCTGCAGGAGAAAAATAGGCAGTCTCCTCCTGTGCCTCCAAAAATCTGCTGGAGAGCCAGCTAGGAGTCAGTTCCTTCTCTCTTGGAGCCGATGGTGGATTTGAACCACTAGAGAGGCGTCATCATGGGGCAGCAGTGCACTCCCTATGGACTGTACCACCACAGCTCCTTCAGAAGGGACCAGTCTAGAAAAGCACATCATGCTGTAAAAGGTAGAGAAAGAGAGGAAGACCCTAAACAAGGTGGATTGACACAGTAGCTGTAACAATGGCTCACGTGTGTTAGAGACAGTGAGGATGACACAGGCTAGGGCAGGGTTCTGACGTGTGGTGCATAGGGTTGCTATGAGTGGTCGTTGATTCAACCACATACACCAACCGTGATGCAAATACTCTGGTGATGTAGTCTGTAGGGTATTGTGTTGCAGCCAAAGGTGGTGCCTATTGATTCGAATCCTCCAGCTGCTCTGCGAAAGGAAGACAGGCAGTCTCCTCCCACACAGTATACAGCCTCTGAAACCCCCCTCGCTGGAAGGTGAGCTAGGAATTTATTCTGACTCCTCAGCAATGAGTTGAGTTGAATTGGTGATAGAATACTAGTCCCCCAATTCAGTGGAGGAAACTGAAGAACAGAGAGGGTAAATAACTTCTTCAGTGTCAGCTATTGAGGGGTTGAATGTGGATTCAGGCTCAAGCAGGCAGGCTCTAGGGTCTGTGTCCTTAATGGCTGTGCTGCTCATGTACCAGGGGTCCAGAGGACATGGGAAAAGCAGAGAAGCTAGAGGAGGGGATCATATCTTCTCAGTCCAAGCAGCCAGCTAAGGGCTGATAACTTCCTGGCCCCCCACGAGTTCCCCGTGGCCCAGGCCACCTCTGCTTGTGGGTAGATCCGGCCTTGGTCATAAAGTGAACAACTCTAACCTCAGGCCCCGAGTGGCGTCATGGGCCTGCCTGGTGGCTTGTGCCGCCTTCCATGTTCCCGGGAGCAAAAGGGTTTGTGTGTAGCGGGTGGCCCACAGCCATTGCAGGCACGGTCCCTGTGTGCAGGAAGGCTCCCCACCCCCTGGCGTCTTGGCACAGCCAAGCAGCTGAGGGCAGGATGTGGGGCAGTGAGAGAGGGAGGGCAACTGTGGGGCTATAGCGTTTTCCTAAGAAACTCATGGCTGTGTCTTGCCAGGCAGGAAATGTTTGATACCCTAGAACTATGTTTGTTTCCCCAGTGCCGCCACCTGAACCGAGTCTGATCCTTCCTTGTTCCTTGTCTGTCTCTCCCTGCACTCATAGGCACCCAGGCATTCGGAAGATGCTCGCGCTGGCAGCTTGCATGGCCCTTCTGGGCTGCCTGCAGGCCCAGGAGCTCCAGGGGCATGTCTCCATAATCCTGCTGGGAGCAACTGGGGACCTGGCCAGAAAGTACTTATGGCAGGGGCTGTTCCAGCTCTACCTGGATGAGGCTGGGAAGGGCCACAGCTTCAGCTTCCACGGGGCTGCGCTCACCGCCCCCACACAGGGCCAGCAGCTCATGGACAAGGCCCTGGAGACCCTCTCCTGCCCCCAGGACATGGCCGCCAGCCACTGCGCTGAGCTCAAGGACCAGTTCCTGCAGCTGAGCCAGTACCGCCAGCTGAAGACGCCTGAGGACTATCAGGCTCTGAGCAGGGACATTGAGGCACACATCCAGCAGGAGGGCCTCCGAGAGGCTGGAAGGATCTTCTATTTCTCGGTGCCACCCTTCGCCTATGCAGACATTGCCCGCAACATCAATAGCAGCTGTCGCCCGGGCCCAGGTGCCTGGCTGCGGGTTGTCCTTGAGAAACCCTTTGGCCATGACCACAGCTCAGCCCAGCAGCTGGCCACGGAACTTGGGAGCTTTTTCCAGGAGGAGGAGATGTACCGAGTGGACCATTACCTTGGCAAGCAGGTGAGCTTCTGCCAGGGAGGGGCCTGCCTTGATTGGGGGGAGGTGGCTGCAGGTAGACCCCACAGAGAGCCCCGAGGAGACTGTGAAACCTGAGTGTGTCATGGTCTTGAGGGTGGTGGGCACTGAGAGGACAGAGGGAAGGCCGTGAGCAGCAAGGGCAGGGCGCCTGGTCCATGTGCTCATGTCCAGCCTTGCTAACAGAAGCTGTGTTCTTCTGGGCCTCCCAGCCCTCCTTGGTCCCTCACCAGGTTCTGGGCTCTGGTTTCTGATTAGTCAGGGTTGCCGGGCATCCTCTGCAGAGATATGGCTCCAGAACTCTGGGGTCTGGAGCCGCTTCTGGTTACATGTGCAGTGGGAATTAGAATTAGTTTTCTTGTCCAGCACCTGTCTGCTCATTTTGGGTTTGTTTTTTTCCCTCCCCCCGATTCCTGTTTTGAGCCAAAATCCAGGTGACAAGGTCTTAAAACCATGCAGGGCAAGTGGGTCCCTAAGACCATGCTTATCAGCCAAGTCGTATAGCAGGAGCCTGGGACTGACTTCCTGAATCAGCACATCAACAGTGCTCTCACCCCCAGTTTATGCCAGCCCAGCCCTTGGAGACCCTGCATGGCCTCTTCTCCAAAGCCCTGGCAGAGAGCAAAGTCCCAGCCCTCTGGGCCTGAGCTGGCTGCTGATTGCAGGGCCATGGGGTAGACAGTAGAGGAAGGCATCTGTGCTAGTCCACCAGGAGACCTGGAGTCAGCCCTGGCTGGTAGCCTTCGGTCTGGGTTCTCATTTGAACTTTACCAAGCTCTCGAGTTCATGTTCCTGCCCATTGTACAGCAGTGATAATACACACCTGCCTTCTAATATGTCAGTGTAAGGCTTCCCAGGCCCGGTGCCTGCTTACGTGGTGAATGCAGCTCACATGGGGCGCAGGTAATAACCCAGAACTGAGACATTTCCCACCTGTAAGAGCCCACAGCAATGGCTCCCTAATGTCAGCTCTCAGACCCGTGCTTGTCCTGAGGAGGTTTCTGTGCATTTAAGGCAAAAGGAAGAAGAGGACTGAATGTTCTCAACTGGAAGGTTTCCTGGCTGCGTTGTTGATTTTAAAACATCTTCATTTTATGAAAAGTTGATATTAATGGAAAAAACATTTCCAAATGTTTTGATTTCTTGGCAAGATAGAAAGTGGGTTTTTGGGAGCAAGACAGGCAATCTCCTCCCGTGAGATTCACCACCTTGGAAACCCAGTGGAGGGTCACCTGTGAGTCTATTCTGACTCACAGCAATAGGTTTTTGAGTTTGGACCCTGTGGAGGTCACATAAGATCTTCTGGAGACTTTCTTGGCTGGTGAAGCTATGAGGCCCTTGAACACCTACTCCAGATCCTACCTTGTCCTCCAGTCAGGAACTAGCAAAGCTGGGGGTCCTGTGGAGTGAGAGGCCTTCTTCACCCCGATATGAGTCTCGAGCACAGTCAGTCTCCTTTCCCGACAGGCCGTGGCCCAGATCCTGCCCTTCCGAGACCAGAACCGCAAGGCCCTGGACCATCTCTGGAGCCGACACCACGTAGAGCGGGTAGAGATCATCATGAAGGAGACAGTGGATGCAGAAGGTGTGTGAGGGGTCCCAGCCCTCCTCCAGGCTGGGGCATGTGGGGGGCATCTGTACACCTTTCTTGGAGCCCATTTTCTGATGGTGTGTGGCCTCCTACTGGGGCTGGTTGTGTGCCCAGCTTTGGGGCCAAGGTCGGATTACTCTATGAGCAAGGTACACACAGGTCCAACTGCGTCTTCCCACCAACTGCCTATGCACGATTTCACCCGGTGAACCCCGAGTGAGACCGCTCCCCACAGATTAGCAGGTACCTCAAGCCCCAGATGCCTCGAGCATATCGTGTTTCTGGCTAACCACTCTCCGTTGGGGACTGTGTAGAATGCAAGGGACCATCGCCAGAGCCTGAGGTCCAGCCACCCTTGCGAGCATACTATCCAGTTTATGAGAACTTGGCACAATCACCATAAGCACTGGCTATGAATAGAGATTGTCCTGAGAGTAATGAAGACCATCAGAGCTGGAGGGGAGCTCAGGGAGGAGAAGGAAGGACTGAGGTAGGGTCAAAAAAAGAGGAAAACAGGAACCTCTGAGGGCCACTGAGGAGGCCCCAGGAAAGTCAGAGGGGAGGAGGGAGGCCTGAGGAGATTTTTGAGCTGGTCAGATTGGGGCCAGCCACGGATGGGCCTGAGAATGGTGGCGTACTGTCGTGTGGGCTTTGAGACTGTTGTGGGCTCCCGGGGACCCCAAGGAGGTAATATCTTGAGAACATACTAATTTTCAGCGCCCTGATGCTCTTAATCCCCTGAGGCCCTGCTTGCCAGCACCTCTCAGGTCATAGTCTGCATTGTTACCTGGGCTCTCGGCTGTTGCTTCACAATCTTTTGCTCTTCACACATGGGGCACCCTGCTACTGATCCCTCCTCATCTTCCATCCCTGTCTCAGCTCAGCTGTCACCCTCTAGGGGAGACTTTTGCTAACCATTTTGACGTAGGTCACTCCCGTGCAACTCACAAGTGATTCCAGAAACTTCTCCCAGCTCGGCCGCTGTTGCTGACTTGCCTTCTGCTATTTAGACTGTTCCTCCACCAGGTTGGGCTCTGGGACAGCCCCCTCTCCAGCACAGAGCATGCATGTGCTAGATGAATGGCGAGGGGACAGTGATGACCCATGTCAGAGGCCCTGTGTGAGGCCTGGTCACCTCGGCATGGCCCTGCCCTCCCTGGACCCTGCCTCCACCCTGTGAGATGAGCAGGTTGTGTAGAGGGTGATGGTGAATGAAGCCCCTTGGGGCTCCTGCCTTCTTTGCTTCCATCATATTCTTTGAGCACCAACTGCAGACATCCACAGCATAGGTTCTTACCCAACAGAAACAAAACCAGCTTCCTGTTGTGTATTTAAGGCCCCTAACAATGTCTGCGGTAGGTACTATTATTAGCACCTCTGAACAGGATTGGGAGCCTGCCCAGGGTCCTGTTGGCACCGAGTGGTGGAGCCTGTTCGGAGGCGGGCAGGCTGGCTCTGGTGCCCAGCTCTGCACCATCATCCTGGGCAGCAGAGAGCAGCAGAGTGTCCCACAAGCCCTGTGGTTGCTCACAAGCCCTGGGGTCACTCTCTGCTGCTGGAGGAGGGGGATCAGAGGCCACCATGTACCTGTGACTAGAAAGGAGGCAGTCCCCATCCTCGGGCCTGAGAGCAGAGGAATGGAGGATGTATCTTTCTCTTTATGCTTTACCTTGGTTTTCCCCCCTCTTCTTCTCGTGATTATTCTCTCCAGCTTTCTCTCTTTTCCTCCTTGGGGGTGTTTAGTGCTGGAAGCTTTGTATGGGACTGTGGCTGTACTGAGAAGTGTGAGACCCAGCTCTGCCTCCCAGTGCCTAGGTTATGGAACCTGAAATGAATGCTGTGAGAAGTTGGGGACAAGCAGGCAGGACTTTTGACCAGGCTGCATAGAACTTGCCTGTGGAGGAGCTGTGTCTCCACCCTGGAACCCGTATCAGACAAGGGGTCCCCGTGCACCACTCTAAGCCTGTGGGGGTCCTGAGAATTCCCACCACGGCTCCTCAGCAAGGGCTCAGCCAGGCGTGTGCTGGGCACTCTGGTGGTTTGGCAGGAGTGTGTTCTGGTTTGCCCTTGCTTCCTCTGCAGAGAGGTGAGCTGCGAATCCGCTGAGGAGAGCCTGAGCAGGTGGGAGGGTGGCATGGCCTGCCTGCTACTGTGGGCGCACTGTCAGTGCTCGTGCCCCTCGCTGGGTGACTCTGGCAGGTCACAGGCAGGGAGGGGTTCCTTGCCTGCCTCCTCTCCGCAGCTTCTTCCCGTGGCCACCCTGGCTTGGAGAGTTGTCACCCCTGCCTGCCATTTCTTACCCTCCCTCTACCTCAAAGCAGGAGTCCCTTGGAGCCAGGAGCTCAGCAGACTGAAGGTTTGCTTCTCCCAGCTAAAGTGCCTTTGGGTTTTGGAGAAAAGAAAATAGGAGACAAGACAGGAGGAGGCCTGGTGGGTCTGCGGGTCCAGGCAAGCCTGACGGGAGAGGGCCTTGTAGGAACAACTGCACAGCAGTCTGGGCCGGTCATTTCTTAGGTCCAGATTTCAGGCTGCACCATGCCACCAACCTGCCTTGGCCTGTGGGTATAGTTCTGAGGGAATCACACAGCTTCTGGTCCTCTGAGCAGAATAGTTTCCACTTAGCTCAGCTGAGCCCTTAGCCCAGAGGTAGCCGATAGATGGCTGGGGTCAGCTCATTTGCTAGTGCAACTCGCTACCATTGGCTTAGAGGACCAGCAGAATGCCCACTGACCTAGGGTCCTGCTCTCCTGGCTGCCCAAACAGGTGACAGCAGAGGATGTTGTCCCTCTGCTGTGTTCACTCCCACAGCCAGGGGACCCCTGGACATAAGGTCCTTTAGCAACACTGGGAGTTCTCACTCTCTTTCTGGCTCCTTGGTCTTGGGAACCAGAAAGATACACCCTGGACTTGCAGTCATGGTGACTGAGGGCTCTCTGATTGCCCAGCCTAGATCCTTAATGTCTGGTTCTGCTCTAGACCTCTGCCCCCGCCCCCGGGTCCCTCACAGGCTCTGAGGTCGGGCTGGAGAGAGGAGGGGAGAGATGTGGGGCTGCAGCCATGAACCCTAGGCCAGCACGGCAGGGGCATGATGTCTTGCTGGCATTGGGTGCTATCTGGGTGGCCAGGACTGCTGCAGTGGGACAGCCTGTGGCTAGCCAGTCTCCCAGGCAGGATTGAGAGTGCACAGTCCACAGACCTTTGCCCCTCTCCCAGCTCTGCCCCACCTGCCACTCTGGTGGATCCCCGCTGTCCTTCTTCCTGCTGCAGGTGTGCAGCCCAGCCCACCCCTGGGCAGGAACTGGCACCTGGGCGACCCAGCCTTGGTGGCAGCCTTGACCACCATCCTGAGAGCTGGAAAAGGCAGAGGCAGCATGTGGGGCCTGGCCAGTGGAGTTGTCCCGACCCAGCCATGCTGCAGGCCCTGAGTAAGGGACTCTGAGCTTCAAGGTCATCCGGACATCCTCCCCACCCCCTCACACAAGTCACAGGGGTAGAGGTGCCTTCCCTCTCCCTCCTCCACGTGGTGTGTGTGAGGGTTTTTTCCCTGCCGCAGCCTCTGGCCCAGAGGAGTTTGCTGCAGAGTGGAGGCTGCTGCACAGGCAGAGGGGGAGGGCCGGGGGGGGGGGAGGAGGAAAGGGAGACGCCATCCTTCACCCGCTGCAGGTGCTCAGCTGTCTCTCAGTCTGACCTGAGGTGCTCTTTGGAGGAGGGCCCGCACCAGTGAGCCCCTGAGCCACAGACATCCTGGGTGCCCTGGACACCATGGACCTTAGGAGTGACCTTGGCTGGGTCACGGCCTGGACAGGTCCCTGTCATGTTCACCGCGAACTGTTGTGCAGACCAGAGACACTGTGCCATCAGGGGGCTAGATTCAGCTCACGCCAGGCTGCCATGTCTCCTGAGAGTAATGGGGACTGTGGTCCCTGAACCCAAGCATCCTGCCACCACACACTCTGGCCTCCCAACCTGGCTAGTTCCCAGCACACAGCCTTCCTCCCACTGTGTACGCAGAAACCATCTTCTCCTGCCTTGATTTCCCCTCTGGGAAGGAGGGAGACTGCCTGTAGCTGATGAGGTGTCCCTATTTAGGAGGGTCCCATGTGGCTCTGGGGAAAGGATTGTGATGCCTGCTGTCTGTGGGCCAGAGGACCGAGCAGTATAATTTACTGCTGGCCACAACCAGAGGGCCCTCTGGCCCACGCTCACTGCCCGCCTCCTCCTACCCCCATCTGCACCCTGTCTGCAAGGGTAGCCTGGCACAGCTGCCCACCTGGCCTCGGGGAGCCTGACCAGCCCCCACCAGCGCTCTCCTCATTCTCATCTCTTTTATTTTTAGTCATCCCAGAAGGTGTTGGTAAGGAATGCAGCTGATGGTTGGTTTCCGTTTAGTTGTAGCTTTCCCCCTCAATGTGTTTTTGCTGGGAAAACATGTCTTTCACATTGTGCGTACCTGGGGTGGGAGCTTCTGGTCCCATTTGTGAGGGTTGTGACCTTCAGCACAGCCCCTATAAGTGATGACGACTCTCGTTCTCTCTCTCCTGGAGTGATTTTAAGGATCAAATCAGATAATGTACACAGAAATGCTTCACAAATGGCAATGTTGTTCTCCTTCCAAGTTTTCAAGAGAGAAAGAAAGAGGCAGTGTTCTTCCAATCTATCTTATTATCTCATCCTGTTATATCAGAGATACCAAAAGTAGATGGCTCTAATGAACAGGATTTCACTGTCTTAGCATCTACAAGACCAGAGTTAAGATACAGGGTGCCAGCGTTGGGGGAAGGCTAGTTTCCTCTCTGCCGGTGGTGGAGGAAAGCCCTTGCTGCCTTCAGCATCTGTAGGCCACATGTTCTTTTGGACCTCTCCATGTGTTCTGGTCTTCTCAGCATCAAGGGTTCCTCTGCACAGGAGCCCATGTCCAAAAGCTCACGTTCCACTCCTACCTATTGTTTCTTGGTTACTGAAATCCCTTCTACTTGGCTCACTTTCCTCCCTTT